ATCCTGCCTTTTTGCTGCCCCCTCTCCCCCCCCCCAAAAAAATGGTGCCACCCAAGAGACCCTCCCGGGCGCCCGGTTGGATTTGGCCGCTCTCCCCTCCCGACCCATGTTGCTCCGCCCCAGATGGCTGTGGATAATAGGCGCAGCCTAGGCGATTGGCAAGGGGTGGATGGGTGGGTGTTGGGGGTGAAGACCCGCCCAGCGCCCTCGTAGGCTCCACTCCGTCCCCGCCCTACTCTATCGTCTCTCCCTCCCTACTCTATAGACCGGAAGCGGAGGCGCGGGGACCGGAAGTGGAGGCCGGGGCTTCCGGGTCTGGCTTTCCGAGGGCGAGAAAGAGAGAGAGAAGGGGGCGAAGGACGCGCGGCGGGGTCGCCTGGGGAGGCCGCCCGCCCGCCCGCCATGTGAGGCTGTTTTCTCCGGGGGCAGGTGAAGGGGCGGCTCTCGTTGTGGAGGGGGGGGGTCCCTCCGGGCCTGGGTGGGAGGAGGGAGGGGAAAGAGATCCCTGAGAGAGCCTCCACAGGCAGGTGCAGTCTACCTTTCCCGGCGTTGGTGAGCCTCTGGCGGGGGGGGGCTGTGATGCGACGCGTCTGGCTGGCAAGAGGAGGACGGAGGCATGGAGGGAAGCAGGATGCATCATCATCATCATTATTAGTATTAGTATTATTAATCAATCTTTAGTGAGATTGCAGCTTTTGGGGCTGGTTGGTAACTCAACAGCTCGAGTCCTAACCAAGGACCTAGGAACTGTTCAGGGAGCATTATTATTATTATTATTATTATTATTATTATTATTATTATTATTATTGATGCTCTGGCTGTTGTTGTTGTTATTATTATTATTATTATTATTATTATTATTATTATTATTATTCAGGATGCCAAGTTCTCGACTTTCTTTCCCCTTTAAAACCAGGCGCTCTCTTCTCTTGCAGCTCGCTGATGAAATGGAGCCGGGGGCGAGTTCTTTCCGCGTCGAATTCCCCGACTTCTGCAGCACCGTCCTGCAGAAGCTCAACCAGCAGCGCCAGCAAGGCCAGCTGTGCGATGTCTCCATCGTGGTCCAGGGCCACCTCTTCCGAGCCCACAAGGCCGTCCTGGCCGCCAGCTCCCCTTACTTCTGCGACCAGGTGCTGCTGAAGAACAGCCGGCGGATCGTCCTCCCTGACGTCATGAACCCCAGAGTCTTTGAGAATATCCTCCTGTCGACCTACACGGGCCGGCTCGTCATGCCCGCCCCGGAAATTGTCAGCTACTTGACGGCGGCCAGTTTCCTCCAGATGTGGCACGTGGTGGACAAATGCACAGAGGTGTTGGAAGGAAACCCTTCGGTCCTCTGCCAAAAGCTCAACCGAGCCAGCGACCACCAGTCTCCGAGCAGTAGTAGCTACAACGGCCTGGCGGAAAGCTTTGAGCTGGGGGGAGCAGGCCAGGCGGATTTCCACAAAGTGCAGGAACTGAGGGACGGGGAAAACGAAGAGGAGAGCTCCAAGGACGAGCTGCTCTCCCAACTGACCGAACACGAGTACCTCCCGAGCAATTCTTCCACAGAACATGACCGGCTGAGCACTGGGATGGCCAGCCAGGACGGAGAAGAAGGCGTCAGCGACAGCACCGACTATCCGTACGCCCGGCCTCTGTACATCAAGCCCAGCATCATGTCTCACAAGCGATGGATCCACGTCAAGACGGAGAGGTTCGTCCAGGACTGCGAAGGGGTGGAAATGCACGACGAGCACCAGGTCTCTGAGTCGGGGAACGTCATTCAGCCGGACCGCTCAGTCCAGACCAGCCTTGGGGAAGGTCTCCGGGCCAACGAGAGGAAAGTGGGGGTGGAATTTGGGGAGCCGGCCAGCGAGGGCAACTACGACGAGCATGTCGACTTCTACGGCTCTTCCATGGAAGAGTTCTCCGGGGAAAGGAACGATGGGGCGGCTCTTGGCCTTCATGGTCCGGAGGCTTCGGGTTACGGAGAAAACGTGGACCTTCCCTCGGGGATCAAGGAGGAGAGCGCCCTCTCCGGCTTTTCGGCCACCGACAAACTTTACCCCTGCCAGTGTGGCAAGAGCTTCACCCACAAAAGCCAGAGGGACCGTCACATGGGCATGCACCTGGGACTCCGGCCATACGGTTGCGGCGTGTGTGGTAAGAAGTTCAAGATGAAACACCACCTGGTGGGACACATGAAGATCCACACGGGCATCAAGCCATACGAGTGCAACATCTGTGGGAAAAGGTTCATGTGGCGGGACAGTTTCCACCGGCACGTCACTTCCTGCACCAAATCTTACCAGACTTGCAAAATGGAGCAGAACGCTGCTAAAATGAACTAGGGGGTGGGACCGGGGAGAGCGACGAACGGCTTAACCCGACGAGCGGCTGTGTCGGCACGGCCCTCGATCGGACCGTGGCTTATTTTGGGACGAGCGGAATGGCCACCTGTCCCCACAGCCTCGTGCGGGAGGCCTTGCTGCTTTTGAGGGGGTAAACCCGGGGGGGGGGGCAGGACCCCCTTTTAAGGTGTCCGTGAGGATCCCCGCCCCGAGACTGCAAACAGACCAACCAGTTGGCTTCATGGTACTTGTTCCCTACTTAACAATTCCTGCGGTTTAATTTGTGCTTTGGGTTCTCTCCGATAGGAATGCCAAGGTCGCTTCTTGCTTGGAATTCATCTCAGTAGAATTTGGAGCGATTCTTTTCAGGTTCGGCGGGAATGTATAGGACGGGGTGGTGGTCTCCTTTGACGGCGCTCCCCAGTTAGGCGGTGTTTGAATTGAAGCTAGTGAAGTGGAGGTGTGAGCGCTTGCTTGCTGAGAACCAAAGGGTGAGTGGGTGGGTTCAGTTTGCCTCCAAAAGCACGTGGCTGGGTAATTTTCAAGGGCAAGACTTATTATTATCACCATCAAATTGTTAATTATTCTTATCAAATTTATTTGCCACCCGTCTCGCAGTCCAAGGCAATTCTGAAGTTCTGTCCAACTTCTTTGAGTTCCAAGATTCTGAGTTCCATTGAGTGGCAGCCCTTCTTTGTCTTGGCAAGCAGCACCTGTTTGGGTTTTTTGTGTGATATATGGCGATGGACACTTTAAAACCTCACTTTCTTGTCCTTTCCCTTGTGCCTGATGCAATAGTCAATCAAACCAGCCTCTTCTTTTGACTGAGCATTTATGTCAGTTCTCCAACAGGGGGGAGAAGTGCCCCTCCCTTAGCTCGGACATCATTTTTTGAGTCTACATTTTAAAAATCTGCTGCAAAACCAGAAAGCAGATCACCTTTGGGCTTTGCAGTGTCTTTGTCATAACCTCCGCATTTTGTCAGTAACCAGGCTATAGAATCTCTTTTAAATTACATTTCCTTCCAGTGGTTAAAATCTAAACAGCATCCGTAAAGCTATGCCCATATTCGGGGAATCTTCTGAGTTTCTAACTGCAGATTAATTTCATAATCTGAAGTGGTTCCAGGTCAATAATAAAGGATGCTCAACCTTTTAAGATGGGTGGACTTCATCTCCCAGAATTCCCATCTTGGCTGGGGAATGCTGGGAGTTGGAAGTCCACTCATCTTAAAACTGCAGAATAACAGAGTTAAAAACGTTCCAAGGTTCTGAAATAACAACCTAGGTAGATTCACGCACAAAAAAAGAAAGCATTTTGTGTAGGTAGTTGTCTCTTTTCTTTGATTGCTGAAATTATCTTTTCAGCTGATGTCTAAAATACAAGTGTCTGACTTGCTATAAAGATAGCACTGTAACCTTCTCTCTTAATTAAATATGCCCCCCTCTCCCCGTGTTAAATAAGTTAAAACCTATCAAGTGTTGAGGTTCCCTTGTCTCTTCCTTCTCTCTCCCCATGGATAATCTTTCAATGTCTCCGATGAGGCACTTCTTCAGCTGACCACAGGCATCTACAAATGGTCAACATCAAGCGCGCACCATGAATTCCACCGTACCCGTCACCGACTTGAACCCTAGAAAACACGTCAGCAGGGATCTCTTTGCCAACACTGTAATTTGCTAATGTACAGAAGCACTTTGTATTTAAAGCAAAGCAAAACAAACAAACAAATATATATATATATAATATTTTTAGAACATGTATACATACACACACATATATATATTCCCTCTGGTTTAATTTCTAATTCAAGTTGTTTGGTCTGTTTTTTCTTATTTCTTGTTTGAAATTTTTTAAGGATGAGAAGTTTTGTGTTTACATAAGGGTCGGTACTAGCTGGGTTTCGTTTTGTTTTGTTGAGGAAAAGTAAGATCCTAAGGATCTGGTTCTTTTTTGAGTTTTGTTTCCAAAATCAAACAGAAGCAAAAAAAAAAAAAAATACGTCACTGCCTTAGAATGTTCTGGAGGCCTTTTCTCTAATTTCTCAGAATCTCCACATTTTTTCATTTATATATAGATGCTTCCAATTGTGCAGGAACTAACTTTTCCTCAAACATCCATCCATCCATGTATATTTATATTTAACTTCAAATATTATACATGGATGTATGTATGTTTTTTTGTGTGAGGGAAAGTTAGTTCCTGAGCAATTGGAGGGCATCAACACAGGTCAAAATGCCGGAGGTTTAATCCATGGGGAAATGGTTCTCTTAACTGCCATTGAGCTAATGCAAAGATAGTTATGCGGCATTTTTCATGTAATTTAATGCAGAAAGGGATTGTGTGCTACCCTAACACTTCTCTTGGCAGAAAGTTGACAGTGGAAACCAGACACAGTTACTGGAAGAACTATGATTTTGGATGTGTAGGGAAATTCTCAACCATTCAGCTCATGGTTGTCCCAAAGGTGTTTTTTTTTTTCAAAAGGCAACTGGACTTCCTTGGTTTTTTTTTTTCCCTTTAAAATGTTTCACTTCTGATCCTAGAAGCTCCTTGGATGAGAAGCAGAACGTTTTCAGGTGGGGACACCCCAAGAAGGTCCAGTTGCCTTTTGAAAAAAAAATAAAAATCTTTGGGATATGCTCGTGCACTTTGAACAGGATGCTTCAGATAGGAACAGAGAGACAATTCTTTCGTTGTTTCCCATGTGGAATAAAAGTTAAGATATCTGTCATCTGCTGGCAACAGTTCCAGGCAGAATTTGTGTGCAATCGATAGTCCTCTCCTTCACCTCTTGAGATGGCAGTTGCAATTAAGGAAAACTAGATAAAATGCCCGAAGTGTAGAAATAAGTTATTTCCGCATAGGCCAGGATTCTGTGCACGGTAAGGGAATTGCAGCACGTATTCCCTCTCTTGTGCTGTGCTAAATTCCAACTGTACATCTTCGTGAGTGACACCTGTCGTGCAACTAATCCAAGAGAAGGGATTGTGGACATTTGTCAGTTCAGTGTGCTAATGAAGGGGCCGGCGTGATAATGGCACACTTGGCTTTGAACCCATCTTACTAACAAAACTAAATTTTCTCTAGAAAATTTTCCTTTTGCGAGAAAGGAAAACCCCCCCATGAATTTTACCTGCCGTTCATTTTTACAATCTTCCTTTTCTTTCAGATATCTGCTGCTAATCTTTTCCCCTCCATTCTGGTGCAATTTGGATAGTAATCCATACTCTGCTTTCCTGCTCATCGGCGAAGGCAAAAACTGCTGGGTTTGGGAAATGCATTCTTATTTCTAATCCTTAAAGGATTTTAGAGGCATGTAAACACGGCATGTTTCCCAAATCCGAGACTGTAAATATTATATTGTAAAATTCACCATTGGCCTCTTTTTGTGGTGTTGGTTTTTTTTAAAGGGCATCTATGTTAAACATGTTTTGGGCAGATGATATTTCTAAACCCGAGAGTCTATTTTTTTTAAAGAAAGATACTTGTTTTATCTAGGATTATAGAGTACTAAAAACCGCCCAAAAAGGATTTGTGCTTTTTTTAAAAAAAAAAAATCATCTATGGATGAGTCAGAATCGAAGAGTTTAGCTGCTAAGCCCCCAGGCGGCAGGAGGAGGGGGAGGAAATTGGAGATTTAAATGTATATTAACATTTTTGATGTGTTACATTGACATACTTCTCCTTTGCTTAAAGCCTGCATCCTAAGTTGGTTCTTGCCGCTTCCCCTCACCCCGCCTCTATAACTCCCCTTCTGGTTTTCCTCCGTATTTCTAGAATAAATGTGGTTGGAGGTCTCTTTGTTTTTTTGCAAACGAGCAAACCTCCTTCATTCCACTGCACACATTTACCCGTTAAGCATCGTCACTTATAATATTTAGAACTGATCTGTGAACTGCTGTGTATTATATCATTAAAGGTGGGAGGTATAATTCTGCTGTCCTTTATCATGTACAGCGTGGTTTATGTGACATTCCTGTTTCTTTGTTTTTCTTCTTATAGAAGAGTCCGTTGCTCTTTTTGTATAACATGTTTTAATAAATGTTATTGGTATTTTGCTAGGCATGTTTGTTTACGCAGCAAAAGCCTGTTTCACTGAATGTTAACGGTTGCCGATTTCTGAATAAATAGGAACCCAATTTGGGTTGGAAGGATTCAGAAATCCGGCTAAGAGTAACCTACCCCAAGGACACCTCTGCCTTGGACGGCAGACCTCTTCTGAAAATCTTCTGAGATCTGCTGATATGAAGAAGCTGACGATCACATGTGCTCAATCAAAGCCATCGGAAGGCTTTTGCATTGCCGCTCTTAATGACCGGCAGTGGCATTTCGCTGAACCCGGCCATTCTAACAGATCTCATTTAATCACTCCTTTTCAACACGGGTATCCGAATTCAGCCCTTTATTTTCAAAAGGGTAACCAAATCTACCCCCATCTCCAGAGATGCTCGCCCTGCCCACAGCTGTCATAACTGGCTTTGGCCGGAGCGAATGTTTGCTTTCCAAACAAAACAGCCACCCTTCTTGCCTTCAATCCGGGGCCTCTCGGCTAACGTCCCTTTTTAAATTCAATCACGGTGCCATAAGAATCTCCCTTTCGGTCACCAAGAAAGGATGGCGTGTTTTTACCAAAAAGCAGAATATTTTTTTTTTATTATTATCCTAGCCCAAAAGATAATAAAGAGTGCACAGCACAGGGGTCGACAAATGTAAACACCCTGTGCGTTAACTCAAGTTGTACCTTGATGTGTCAAGGCAGAGTGACTTGTGAACTTATTAACCTGGAAGTCAGGAAGAGTTTATGATTCTAAGGACGTAATAACGCTGGGCTGGATCAGTTCATAAACTTTAGACAGACACACACACACACACCCCAAAATAAAAAGCATTTCCATGAACTCCACAACCGCTGCAGAGGGGAAAGGGGTCAGCAGAACAAAAAACTTGATTTTGCATCCACACAAGGTGTTATATTTATTATATTTTATTTTATATTATATAATATTGTATTATATATTTATTTTGTTAGAGTTATTTTATTATAGTTATCTTTTATATTGTATAATATATAATATTGTATTGCACTGTATTGCAATATTATATTGTTATTTATTATATTTATTATCACACCACTTTAGGTGTAGATTTAATGCAAAAATCCCAGTTAGACCGAGCAGGACACGAAATGTCCACCAGGGGCGCAAGGGAATCGATTTGCGAGGCTCTCTCCATGCGCATGCGCTCTCTCTTTCACCGTCCTTCCCGCGAAGGGGCGTGGCCTCGGCGTTTCCCTTTTTTTTTCCTCCACACTCTCCGCCTATGGTGCCCCGGAAGCGGAACCGCACGTCCCCGTCTCCCCCCCCCCCCCGGTCCGCAGGAAGGATTCGCTTCCGGGTGCTGCTGGCTGAGGGGGGGGAAGCGGCGGCGGCGGCCGGGGGGAAAGCAGCACTCGGGCCAGGGCCGAGCTCCCTCCGGCGGGCCCGCCATGTGAGGAGACCCCGACGCCCCTCAGGTGAGGCGGGAGCGGGGAGGCCGCTTTTCGGGGGCCCCTTTTCTTTCCGGCTTCTTCCTATGCAGGCGCCTCGGTCCCTTCAGGCAGGCTCCCTTCCCTCGAGGGAGGTTTTGGTTTTATTCCTCTCCTGCCTTCGCTGCTTTTTGTTAAGTAACTCAGGGCAGCCCATGTGGTGGCTGCCTCCTGTTATCTCCCCCGCAACGACAACCCTGTGAGGTGGGCTGGGCTGGAAGGGAGGGGCTGCTCCAAAGTCACCCAGCCGTCTTTCATGGCTAAGGCGGGACTAGAACTCCCCGTCGCCTGGTGATTGGCCCAAAGTCACCCAGC